ATTTTTCGTTATTTGAAGCCCTACTCTGACTTTTGCCAGGAGCGGCAGTATAGCCAGGCCATAAATATGGCCTAAAGGCTGAACGCAGTTTCCGGGACCTCTCCACAGATGATCCTCATCCATATGGTGGCACTTTGTGTCATCTGGTGTTTATCGCTTGTGGGATGTCCTGGTAGGGTAAAATCTACTACTACTACTACTACTAATTTTGGTCTGATATCTTTTCATGGTTGTCTATGTCTTGAGGTGTGCTGTGTATATGGTGTTAATCCCATATTGCTATAGTCGAATTAGTTTGCAGTAGGTGGTGTGGTCAGTATAAATGTTGGCCGCCTTCACTTCCCAAAGATATTATCTGGTACCCATTTTTGGCTGGGTCATTTTAGGAGCAGAGACATGCAGAAAAAAAAAATAGGGAAAATGATAGAGTGAGAGAGAAGATTATGAGACAGTGATAAAATATTACTAGTTTATATAACACAGTATATATATGTATGTATATATATATATATATATATATATATATATATATATATATATATATATATATATATATATATATATATATATATATATATATAATATATATATATATATATATATATATATATATATATATATATATATATATATATATATATATATATATATACATGTATATATATGTATGTATATATAATCATTCTTACAAAAGGATTTCAGATCAAATTATTGAACTACTTTTAAAATAAATAGCATCACAGTAATAGCATTTAGGGTTAACACTGTTTCAAATTCTGTCACATGCATGCTTTCATAAATAGCCAGGGGTTTTGATTCAATGGAAGAACAAGCAGATTTTACAACAGATACTATACAAATTTGAATCTTTTAGCTGGACATGGCAACAATCCACAAAATGGAGAAAAATCACAAGAACAAAATTAAAAGTGAATTAGTTTCAAATGCATCAAATATACTTCATAATATGTGGTGGTGGTTATCATGTCTACTTTTTTCTTCCACTCTGTTTTATAAGTTTTGCTTTTTTCCCCCTTTCTTAAATAAAAAATTGCTCCCAAAAAGGTTAAATTCAGCCACTTCTGTTTGTGACACAACCTCGTAAATGTCAATTTATCAACACTTCTTCAAAAAGTTAAATGCCATTTGTTAAATGTGCATATGCGCAGAACTTAGAAGACCCGGATATGAATACAGTAACTAAAATAATATTCAAAGGTTTCCCTTATGACCCCACTGGCATTTTAAAAGCCAAGTTGATGTCAAGTTTTTCCACAAGTATCAGTGATGAAGGTCACAGGGTGACAGCATGAGTCACAGGAGACAAAGTGCTCTTAAGGTCCCAGCGAATGTTTTCCATTTATTATTTAACTCTATCTTTATTTATTCATCATCATTATCATGTAGTAGGTCCTTTGCAGAACGTCGCTCTCATCACAGTCTGCCTGAAAGAAAGTCTCTCGCCAGCTCTCCTGCCTCATGTACTTTCATACTCAGGAAGTCACTTATATCCTGTGTCCATCTTCGTGTTGGTCGGCCCCTGCCCCTCCTTCCTGGTACCATATTTTCTGCTATAATTTTCTTTAATCCGCCGTGGTACTTGATATGAATTTCCAAGACAGGATTCTGTTTATTAGTCAATCTTCCTTGATGTTCAGTCTTTCAAGATATCAGTATTTCTCCTCTTTTTCGTCCAAGTTATTCTGAGAATCTTTCTATAGCATTTCAGCTCAAAAGCACCTATTCTCTTTTTTAAGGACTGGGAGATAGTCCACGACTCACATCCATATGTTGCCACAGGGAAGCGCATGCTCTCAAGATTCTAATTTTGATTTCCTTGCTGGTGCTTAACCATAGGCTTTTTAGGCTGTTTAATCTTTGCATTGCTATGGCCATCCTGCTTCTAATTTTTGTCCTACAGTCTCCATTGCTATTTATTATAGAGCCTAGATATTCAAAGTTTGTGACATTTTCAATTTCTTCACCATTTATTGTTATTTTTGGGTGACAGCCAGTTTTATAATATGTCGACATTATTTTTTGTTTTCTTTAAATTCAAGAACAGATTTTGATCTTCACTGTGCTTTTGGACAGACAATATTAAATTTTCTAGACCCTTTACACTGTTCGAAAGGAGAACTGTGTCATCTGCGTAGTAAAGTTTCGGAATAGGGTTGCCACCAATTTTGAGTGGAGTTTTTACTGTCACAAGTCTGGTCATTTTTGACATTTCTCATTATATTTTCTGGGTATATATTGAATAGGTATGGTGAGAGAATGCACCCCTGCCTCACCCCCTTTTGCGCCTCGAACCAATCAGATGTTTCACCAGCTGCTCTGATGGCTGCTTGTTTTTTATGATAAAGATTTTCAATTAAATCACCAAATTCGCTGGAAATCCCATAATTTTCATAATAGTCCACAGTTTGTGGTGTTGGACACAATCAAATGCCTTGCTATAATCAATAATGGTTTACTGATTACCCCTGGTATATATCTCTACAAATTGTGGGTAACATATTCACACTTTAATCATATACTTAAAAAAAAAATTTATTTGTGATAAATGTAAAATAATTTTTTTTAAAATAATGATGTTTTCTGCCAATTCCCAGGGGTTCATGAACCATTTTTTAAGTACTCATGGGTTGAAAGGGAAAGAAATATAATCTCCTTAAATTCTAAACAAAACGAATGAGGTAATAAACTCCTCTAAACATTCTTTCATTGAATATTAAGAAAACAGAAGTAATGGTTATATCATAGAAGAAGATAGTTCCACGTTGTGATATATCAATTGAAGGGAAAAAACTTAACCAAGTCATTAAATTTAAATAACTGGGAACAATCATATCATCAGATGGAAAATGTGTGACAGAGAGTAAAAGCAGAATAGGTCAAGTGAAAGCTGCATTTCAGAAAATGAAAAATATCTTATGCAATAAATCGCTCTCATTTAATGTCAGAAAGAAGTTGCTAAAATGTTACATAGAACCTGTTCTGCAGTATGGCAGAGAATCTTGGAATGTCACTGAACAAATTAAGAAGAATTTGGAAGCAACAGAGATGTGGTTTCTGAGATGAATGTTATGAATACCTTGGATGGCCAAAGCAACTAACAACGATTGCTTGAAAGAGGCTAATGAAAGTAGATCTCTATATACAACAAAAAGAAAGAGACAAACACTGTTCTTTGGCCACATAATGAGAAGAAATACATTGGATAAAATCGTGACAACTGGAAAGATCAGTGGAAAAAGGGGTAGAGGTAGACAAGAGAGATGATGCTGGATGGGCTGAAACGATGGCATGGAAGGACATCATCAAGAGAGCTGTTCCGGTCAACCAGGGATCGTGATATGTGGAGACACATGAGCACCTACACCAGCTGGCAGGGCACATGATGTTGATGATGATAGGTAACATATAGGTAACAATTAAAACCTACAACCCACTCCTTCCTAAGCAGACGGATTTATAGTAAATTGTTACCCTGGTAAATCACGTGACTACGGTGAGCTTCTGGCAGCTAAAACACACACAATGTGTCAAAAGAAACTATTCACATTTCAGTTGGATTTATTCAGTTTAGTGCTTCATTTTACGTTGATGTAACTCCGTAGAAACAAACCTGATAAAATACAGTGAAATATGCCTGGCAATAAATTGTGCAATGTATTTGTGTCCTAATTATTTAAATTCACTACGGGAAAACATTGTTTTGAATATATGTTTTAGTTATTTTTGTTCTTAAAGGTACACATATCTTTATTCCTGCCAATCAGTTCCAAGAAAATATATGTTATATTTGTGTAGGGTCCCGAATCTGTATTTTGTCAATTTTGTATGCCCATTAAAAATCTGCTCTAGTATCCACAGTTTTAGGACAGAACATGCTGAAGTAAAAAACTACATGTAAGACTGAAACAGTTACGTTTATAAGAACTGGACAACAATGTTTGGTATCATCATTTTATCCACATCCTCTGTCTTGCTACTTAACTGTACAAAGTTTTTTTTTTCTTTTTTAAACTTTAGTCCTGATTAATTTTATTTACACTAATCATCCATTTTATCTCCATCTTCTACATCCGATTTTACTTCATCATCTTCTTTGTTCTTTTCATCATCTTCATCATTATTGTCTGTAGATACTCCTGCCTCCTCTTCCATTTTGGATTCTGCTGCAGCGTCTGTGTCTTCTTCTTTTTTCTCCCCGTTGTCTGTAAGTTAGAAAATATTCTTGTCATGCAAACAAATTTGAGTGTTAGGAAATTAACACAACATGCTTTTTTAAAGAAAAATTGTATGTTATAGTTGAAGAATACTAATATATAATAATACTGAAATTATGATAAATTTAAGAACTAACTCTGAAAATACATAAGACTTTCATAAAATGTAAATTATCAATATGTAAAATAATATACTGGCTAACTTAACTTTTAAAACAGAGAAACAAATGTGTGTGTGTGCATCCTTGCCTAATTCATAGGAGTTATTAATAGGAGTTTGCCGAAAGCAGATGGGCTAAAAAGCACAGATATCTCAGCCTAGCTGTAAACCATGTCACCCATTCTTTTCAGGGCAAAAGCAGAAAAAGAAGAAGAAGAAGAAGAAGAAGAAGAAGAAGAAGAAGAAGAAGAAGAAGAAGAAGAAGAAGAAGAAGAAGAAGAAGAAGAAGAATGTTTAAGAAAAATTTTTACATATTTTGCATATACACACAAAAACTTAACATGAATAAAGCACATCATTTTATATTATTCCACTTGAATGGCATGTAAGTGGCCTGATAGTGGTGGCATTTTAGTGGCTTAGGTGTTGCTTTGTAATGCGGGGGTGCCAGGCTCGATCCCAGCTGAGGATGGTTTATCTTGCGCTGCTTTCAATTGTGGTATGGAGAGCTGACCGCTCAGAAAGCAATAGCAAACTACTGAACTGAAAATTTGCCTCAAAAAACCACAACAGCTGCAAAGTTCTGTGAAGAATACGCAACTAACTTTTTTCTTCCTTTTTTACTAAAATTAAAACAAGATACTTATACGGCAAAATATGAATACCTCTGTATTTAAACTGAGATTATGATGAATTTTGGAACTCTGGATGAAAATACACAGGCACTGAATAAAATGTAAATTTACAATAAATTTTAAAAAATATATTTACTAACTTAATTCAAGATAAAAAAAATAAAAAATAATAAAAAGATGTCAATGTAAGAGACATTAGCAAAGCAGCAAAGAAATAGAAATGTAAAATATAGAAGTATTAAAGGAAGATGTGAACAGCCTGCATAATGGCAAAAAAAGGAATAAGTTAAATGAAAATTACTTTATAAATAAATAAGTCAAAGAATTTTAGAAGTGACTACCAAGGCAAGCAAACCACTACACATAAAATTGCCTGGTAGAAAAACAAATCTTCCCTGTGGCTACATACGGATGTGAGTCGTGGACTATCTCTCAGTTCCTAAGAAAGAGAATAGGGGCTTTTGAGCTGAAATGCTATAGAAAGATTCTCAGAATATCTTAGACAAAGAAGAGGAGAAATACTGACATCTTGAAAGATCTGAACATCAAGGAAGATTGGCTAATTAACAGCATCCCAGAATGTAAGACGGGCCTGCATGCCCAATTTGTGACCCTTTGAAAATAAAGTTTGTTCGTTCGTTCATCCTTTCTCTGAAGCTGAAATATTTTGGTAATATCAAACACCACGACCAATTGGAAAAAATTATAGCAGAAGACATGGTACCAGGAAGGAGGGGCAGGGGCCGACCGACACGAAGATGGGCACAGGATTTAAGTGACTCCTTGAGTATGAAAGTACATGAGGCGGGAGAACTGGCGAGAGACCGAGTTACAGGCAGACTGTGATGACAGCCACGTTCTGCAAAGGACCTGCCACATGATGATGATGATGATGAGAATAACAAACAGAAAAAAAACATGAGAGAGAGAGAGCTACAATTTTGAAATCTCACTGCCTGGAATTACAAATCAGTTATATGAAGATAAATATACTGAAGACATTAAGAGCAGATCAAGCAGTTGTTACATTATAGTCAAAAAGCAGTGGCGAGGCTAGATCAGCTTGCATGTGTAAACAGTTTAGACACAATTAAGCGCTAGCAGGTAATGATTACATTGCCACGTGATATATCCCTTGTCGTCACTTTGCTGTTTCGATCAAACGTGCACAGTTAGCATCTACTGTTAGTAATCTACTATTATGTTATATTAGTAACTTGTAGTTATCACAGCTAAAAAAAAGGGATTAGAAATGTCTGGACAACCACTGGTACCATCAGTTACAAGACAAAGTAGATGGCGATGTACTGTTCACATCACGGGGAGAAACGGATAAAGAATGGATTGAGAAAATGAGGCTGTCCAAAAGAACTTTCATAAGAACGTTGCTGAGAGAGGACCAGCTGAATTCTATCCATGATATTGAACTGATTGAGCCGGATGGAAAGGAATAGAGGTATAGACATGAGGATGATGCACACAGTAGTAGTACTGGCAGCATAGTGGTTACTTTGTTTTCCTGCTAAATCAAACGGCATGCCCAGTTAGTTAGTCAGTCTTTCCTCCTGAGTCTGGGGCGGCACATAGGACAGAGGTCATAGCTCTCCCTGTCTGGTGGTTCATTGCCACCTGTTTTAGGTCTTGGATGTTCATTAGGCCCATGGTTGAGCCTTCCCTGATGATGGTTCTAATCCAGTAGCATGTGCAGGAGGACCGTCATTATCCGGCTCGAGTTTTTCTGACTCCACATTATCCGGCTCGAGTTTTTCTAACTCCACATTATCTGGCTCGAGTTTTTCTGACTCCACGTTATCCGGCTTGAGTTTTTCTGACTCCACATTATCCGGCTTGAGTTTTTCTCACTCTACATTATCCGGCTCCAGTTTTTCTCACTCCAGATTATCCGGCTCGAGTTTTTCTGACTCCACATTATTCTGCTCGAGTTTTTCTGACTCCACATTATCTGGCTCGAGTTTTTCTGACTCCACATTGTTCTGCTCGAGTTTTTCTGACTCCACATTATCCGGCTCAAGTATTTCCGACTCCACATTATCCGGCTTAAGTTTTTCTGACTCAACATTATTCTGCCTAATTTTAACCATGTGCCTAATTTTAACGGTGTGCATAATTTTATTTTAATTGTAATTCAGTTTGTCATTTTGTATTTTATCTTAACATGTGAACAATATTTATATTTTTGTACTTCTTTCTGTTTCTGTAATAAATGTTTAAAACATACAGTACAGTATATAATAGGTAGGTCGTATATGCAAAATAATAAAATGCTACTAAAAAGCGAGGGGGAAAAATGCAGAGAAAGCCAAGAAATCACTTGGGAACAAGGTGAAAAAAATAATTTAAATCAAGCGGGACTTGTTTTCTGGAGAATAAATATATCACCTGTTTCAAATTTCTTTCCTTGATGATCAACGCTGGTTATGTTTCTTCGTTTATTATGTTCTGTTTTGTTGAAAGCTGCTCCATTTTCACTCTTGTTGCTTTTTGAAGCTTGTGACACTCTCCCATCATTTTCTGAGTCTTCTTTTGATTCTCCTTCTTCTTCTTTACTGCCATTTTCTGTGAAACTGGTGTCATGTTTACTAGCCATTAACTCTGAATGTTCTTCCTCTTCCTCTGCCTCATTTTCAAGCACAGAGTGTCTTTCATTATCATGTTCATTATTTTCATGTTGACTTTCATTTTCCTCTTCCATTTCTTTTCCAAATTCCTCATCAACTTCTATAGCTGTAAATTTACAAAATGGGAGATAACTCATATTACTCTTTATTGTTAGATAAAATAGAAACAAACATCCAGTTTACTTTCCGTCTTTCTATTTCTTTCTATGAGTGCCGATCAATACATTGTCAGTTTGTTTTTATATATACTTAAAAAAAACGCCCATATCAGGACACCACAACAGTAGAAACGGATAACTCAAAACAGGACAGAAACAGAGACCCAAGTCTGAGTCTGAATTAGGTCAGTACAGTGCACAGGCTCCGTAGCACCGACGAGGAGCCTGAAATACTTTGGGTAGATTTTTTACTCCAAATTTTGCCCAGGCAGTGCTGTTAGGCTACTATTTTTGATTTCCAACTGCCAAGGGATTTTCTACTTGCACAAAAATACTCATGGAAATCCGATCTAACTATCTAGAGACCATGAATAATTACTAGAAGTCGACGTGAAAAAATACCAGCTTTTATGGGGCCTGAACTCTCAACATCTAGCACACAAGGCGGACACCATACCTCGAGACCATGCAGCCCCCCTCATCACCACGGAGTGACAATAGCCATTGCTGCCCATCTAGCAATGCATCACAAACTTTTTTCTGTCTCTACTGTTTTACAGCACAAGTGGAAATTGTTGTTGATGATGATTGTGCTGTCAAGTTGCTTATGCTTCACAGAATATTTTCTGCGTTTCTCCACTGGGTCTCCGGTGCAAAGCACAGATGTGTCGTTAATTTCACAAGTGCACATTTTACGGAGATTTCCTTGGGGTTGCTGCTGAAGTTACAGCGGTTCATAGTTCTGCAGAGAGAGACTGAGCCATAGGGGATAAAACCTGGTGCAAAGAAGTTGACACTCTTGAGTTTCGCTGACATTTATGTGATTTGTGAAACAACAAATGCATATTCTTGGTAATCTTTGTTTCAGCTTCAAATCAAGCAGGTCACGCCATAGTTACTCTGCTTCTGTGCCAAAGGAAAACACACAAAGTGCTCATCACTGTCTCTTGTGGAAAAACTGGCACAGACTGCAGTCAGCATATCCTCTAGCAGACACCCACATTAAAAGCATAAGGCAGCCATCAGAAATGCTATCACCAACAGTCCGACATTAGAAATGCTGTCTATCATCGACGAAAGCAGCAGTTAGAAACAGATCAGCAGTTGCATACGCAATAAGTTATAGTTACATAAGGCACCACCAATATCTGTGGCAACAGGCCATGTGTCATTTTCTGAATCTACAACTCATAACTCCACACTGATGACAGTTGGAAAACATTCCAAATGAAATCCACAGCTCACAGTGTCACGCCATGCACTCATCTCAACAGCTGGATAACGAAACTATATCCTTTTAGTCTAAAAATTGAGGAAAATGCAACGACCACTGTCTGTCAGAAGCAAAAAAAGTGCCACGACTAAAAACAGTGATAGCGCCTAAAATCCATTTTGACAAGGTAAAAAATATTTTTGTGTGTCCTGGGGCTACATGGTAAACACAACAGAGAGGTACAGGAAAGACAGGCTCAAAGGGGAGAAAAAGGATAGGAGGGGATAAAAGAGAAAGGGGAGAAGAGAGAGAGAGTGATACCAGAATATGGAGATGACAGAAATGAGACAGACAGGAAAAAAGAGGGATAGAGGAAAAGAGATAGGACAAGAAAAGGGTAGAAAAGGTGATTAAAATGTTCCATGAGAGTTACCTCTCATAAGGAAAAGCTATTACCTCATCTCATCTTATTTTATTTTCTCTCAACCTGATCCTTTTGTACCTTGAGAGGAAGTATAATTTACTGGAAAGTGCCTGTTTGTGAGTTCTGCAAAGAGGGATTCCCAAGGACTCTGTTATTCCCTCTGTCCATAATTTGTGTGGTCTGCCTCTTCTTCGCTTCCGGCTTGGTCTGTACATCACTACCTTCTATGACCTCGTACAGGTGAATTATTCTTCTACCAGTCATCCCCCCTCTCCCAAGGGAGCATAACCCCTTTACCAACTCACACCCAGTTGTCCTGTTCTTCGCATTGCATCCATCCCCTCCCCCTTTCCACAGCCTCTAATTCCCTTCTGTATCTTTGTGTGTCTGTTTGTGTGTGTGTGTGTGTGTGTGTGGCGGGAGAGGGGGAGTGGGGGCTGCCCTTACGTCTATGCCCCTGTGGGTTCCAGTGTAAAGCGCTTCTAAATATAGTTTTTTAATATACAGCCAGAGATATAATTTGTACAGTACCACGTGATCTAGTGT